GATACGGAGGATTCCCTATCCTCTCTTCGCCTGGCAGAACGCGGTGACTTAAGTTATAGGGGGGAATGGCAACAAGTTCCTGCTCAGCGCAGCAGGCGCATCTCATCCGTGACTACCCCACCTTTCCAGGTGCCCTTGCATAATAGATACGAGGCTCTGCAAGTGGAACTGAACAGTAACAGGGACAATGGTCCATCTAGGTTGGAGGCGTTGCCAAGGTCAAGTCGGCCTGCGCACCACATCAAAACCACTTCCATTAAGAAAAAAAGAAGTTATTGTCATAGGAGACTCTTCTGAGTGGAACAGAAGGCCCAATATGCCAACCAGTTAGTAAGGTCCCCTGGGAATCTGCTTTTGAAGGTATTGGGGCCTATGAATGCTGGTCACTTTTTAAAAGCATCTCTTAAGAGCGCAGAAGCAGGCAATTCCAAAGTGTTGGAAGTCAAGCAAGTGGGGCAGAAGGCCAGCTTGGATGAGCAGGGATCTTCTAGAACTTAGGTGGAAAAGGAAAGTGTATGGACATTGAAAGCAAGGACAGGTGACACAGGATGACTACAGAGATGCTGTTTGCTATTGTAGGGAGAAAATTCATGTGGCCAAAGCTCAACTGGAGTTCAAGCTGGCCAGTACTGTGAAGGACAACAAAAAGGGCTTTTTTAAATACGTTAACAGCAAAAGGAGGATCAGAGATAACATTGGTCCATTACTTGATGAGGTCAGTCACCTCACAAATAGGGACACAGACAAAGCAGAGACGTTTAATGACTTCTTTACCTCTGCCTTCAACACCAATGATGGTCCCTGGGACCCCCAGAGCCTTGTGTTGGAAGACTGTGACTGGGGGGATGATAAACTCCCAGCCAAACCTGAACTTGTTTGAGACTCGCTGCTCCAGTTGGATGCGCATAAGTCTATGGGGCCCGATGGGATTCATCTCAGGGTACTGAAAGAGCTGGTTGATGTCATCACGGGAACTCTCTCCATTATTTTTCAACGGTCTTGGGAGTCTGGAGAGGTCCCAGTCAACTGGAGCTGGCAAATT